TAAGAACGCAAGGCTCAAAGAGTTAAGCAATAAATTAAAATATGTCGGATTGATAAATGAAAAATCCAACATATCCATACATATATATATATATATATATATATATATATAAAAAGTGAACATTGAAGTCAACACTCAGAGGCGACAGGCTGTTTTATGCTAAACGCAATCGTCAGGCCACGTGTCCTGACGACTGCGTCTAACATGAAACAGCCTGTCGCCTCTGAGTGTTGACTTCAATGTTCACTTTATATTTACATAAGCTCTATCTCTGATATTGAGCACTTTATCCCATAAATATAGCACACATTAAAACTATATTTCTTATATATATATATATATATATATATATATATATATATATATATATATATATATATATATATATGTATGTGTGTGTGTGTGTGTATAAAAGTGGGAATTTTTTCTTTCTCCAAATGAATAATAGAGCGAGTGACGGCTCTAAGGTTGCTGGCACCCCGGGCAAGTTGAACTTCGGCGCCCTTACAAGTATAACTTTTTAAAATTTTCGCAAGGAGAAAAACTGAAAATGTAGAATAACGAGTTTATTACGCAACTTAATACAAGCTAAAGAAAACATTCATTATCCTACCTAAGACATTTTTCTAGCCTTTAGATCTGCAAATCTTTACATGACACTTTCAACATCAATTTTCTTTACAAGATCATTTTCTACTGATAAAATAGCCAAAGAATTTAATCTGTCTTGATTGATGGATAACTGCAAGTATGTTTTTATAAGCTTTAATTTTGGAAGATTCCAAAAACATGACATGGTGGCATGATGGCACCATCGGCCTTTATGGCACCCTGGGTGACTGCTTGGGTTGCCAGTACCATGAGCCAGCCCTTAGTAAAGAAAGAGGATATTATACATATATCAACTGTGTTTTTTCTAGATAGATAGCTACAGAGAGATTGAGCTTGCATTGAGTGATAGATAGTGAGCTTCTGATTCCCTTGTGTGCTGCAGTTTCAGCAGAGAAAGAAGACACTGCATAGAGCTAGCTGACCTGTTGACATCACCCTTCAAAAAACATTGCTGACCTGTTGACATCACCTTTCAAAAAATAATGCTAACCTGTTGACATCACCTTTCAAAAAACAATGCTAACCTGTTGACATCACCCTTCAAAAAACAATGCTGACCTGTTGACATCACAATACAATATTCACTTGTCGAAAATTATTCGTACAATTTAAAATATGTTTTGGCTTTAAATAAAACACAAAAGGGTTGATAAGCCATAACAAACAATGAAATCAATAAAAAACAACAAGTAACCAAAATATTATAAACATAAGACAAATTCTAATAGATAACACCACAATATTATGCATATTATGCACTCACTATAAAGAAAGACAAGAAAAACACATATAGTCATATATGACATTCCTTTGAACTGATTACAATCCAATTTCAACCATCTAAAACAGGATTTAATAAAAAGAAAAAACAAAACTTGCTTACCATACTAACAATACCCAGTTCTTGACAATGACTGTGATCATTGATAGCCCTAGGGTTGCTGGCAACCCAGGCAACTTGATGTTTGGCATCCTTACAAGTATAATTTTTAAAAACCTTTCACAAGGAGAAAAACTGAAAATGTAGAATAATGAGTTTATTGCAATATACAACTTAATACAAACTAAAGAAAACATTCATTATCCAACCTAAAACATTTTTCTAGCCTCTTTAGATCTGCAAATCTTTTCATAAGCACTTTCTACACCGATCAACATCAGTTAGGTTTCATCATTTTACTATTGAAACTGCTAAATGTAATCATTAACTCTATGCTAATAGTTTTTCTTTCACACATCTCACTTGTGAAACTCTCTTTCAGTTACTTGCTTTCCTGTCAACTACAATCTTCAAAAATTTAAATGCAGCAGTAATCATCATCTGTTTCCTTGAATCTTTAATAATATTTTCTCAGTTTCTTTCACTCGCAGTAACACCTTGTGTCTTAGTGGTTTTATTGCCTTACTTGGGGTGAAATGATTAAAAAAAAATTACCTATTAACAATAAAACATATTTGATACATTTTTTCTGTTGTAATCTCGTTCCCTTTAACCATTAGACAAGACATCACTTTAGATGGATTCAAACTTTCAGTTCTCTATAAAAACCAGGATGTAACCAAAGAAATCTTGCCTAACACACTGACAGCACATTGTTTTTGATAGTGACTAAGATGTTCAAAAGTACTTAAACAAAAACAGAACATTCTATTGACAAAATAGCCAGAGAATTTAATCTATCATGAGTGATGGATAACCGCACACATGTTTTTATAAGCTTTAGTTTTGGAAGATCCCAAACACATAATTTGAGGCATGATGGCGCTCCCGGCCTTGATGGCGCCCCGGGTGAATGCCTGAGCAGCCAGTAATTCAGCCGTCCCTGAACAGCACAACTGGAGTTTAACAACAGAATCTACTACAACTGTAAATATGAAAACTCGAATGAAGTCCAAAGAAAAGTGAAACCAGATAGATAGATAGATAGATAGATAGATAGATAGATAGATAATGAACAGACTTAGATAGATAGATAGATAGATAGATAGATAGATAGATAGATAGATAGATGAGGTGAGTACCTGGTCTGTTTAGAAGTATTATGTTGTGCAAGGGCTTGTCTGTCTTGAATTGAAACATTTGAAATTATAGAGATTAATTTGAATAGGTTAAACGAGTATTTCGAATGTGGAGTTTCAACTCAGGCAGAAGCATTTCAGAACGAAGTTAATACACCACCACACACGCATATTTCGAGGCAATCGAGCGTCAAATACCTTCTGCTTTATTTCATCTCTGGAATGATATATGAGTATGTGTAACAAGAACACTTTTCTAGCACACCGTCCACAGACATCAATGGGAAACTGCACATGCTATTTAGTGACCAACTCACTATGAATATAGGCTGGGAACAGAAAAACAAAAAAACAGATGAAATAATGTGGAAAGAGGGCTTGGAGAATGTAACACTCTTAGGACTTATGGAAGGCAAGAGCGGCAGAGGAAACATGGAGTAATTTACCTAACGAGCTTGAGTAAATGGATGGCAGAATAGGAACAGGGAAGTTTTGTAAGTGTACAAACTTTGGTTCATGCGAAAACGGATAAGAAGTTGTGGAGAGCCATGATCGCTTTCATGCTGAAGTAACACGGCACATTAAAGATCCATATCAAGTCATATATAAACGTGTGTGTCTGCATGTCCCAATTAATATATATATATATATATATATATATATATATATATATATATATATATATATACAAATATAGATAACTAGACTCGTTTCGAAAAAACCCTCGAATTTTAGATTTGCTAATAATCAAATCAATCTCGAGGGAAAAAAGGTTTTAAAAAAAGAAAGAGCTACAAACATGGACTTCTGCCGACAAAAAATCGCACAGATGCAGGTTTGAAGCCCAAAGAAAAACCCCGACACAAGTAAACAACTAACTAACAAAAGAGCTCAATACAACCGTAGAGCAGGCCTAGATACACCTAGTGAGCCAGACAAACCTAGCCAGGTTTCACCTAAATGGATCGTCAGGGAAAGTCCCTGACGATCCGTTTAGGTGAAACTTAGGTAGGTTTGTCTGGCTCACTAGGTGTATCTATATATATATATATATATATATATATATATATATGTGTGTGTGTGTGTGTGTGTGTGTGTATTTGCATTCGTGTTTACAAATATAACACGTAATGTGTGAGTGTATGTGTTTAGAGGATGTATAATAGTATCCGAAATGAGACAAAGAGGAAAATTTTATTAAAGACGCGTTTCGCCCTAGAAGGATATACTCTCTTTGGTTTCCTCAGTTTAAAATGGGAAGCCAGACAGATCATGCCCTGCTAAGGTAAAAGGCGACTTGAAAATTTTCCACTTTGTCTCATCATCTTTACACACACACACGCACACACACGCACACACACACACACATATATATGTCTGTGTATATATGAGTGTGTGTGCATATATATATACAGTAATGTATAGAATTGCAATTCAAAATTATGAATGATTTTTTATTACATTCTACTCGAATTTTTTCCTTCTGCTATAAAGTATGCATATTTATCCAAATTATATATATATATATATATATATGAGTGTGTGTAAGTATGTGGAGGCAAGTGTATACCTTTGGATATATATATATATATATATATGCACAGACACTTTATAGCATATACGCAAGTGCAGAATGAAAAAAATTCGAGTTGAATGTAAAAGTGTGTATAAGAGTTCATTTATGCAGTCAACATCGTAGTTCTATCCGTTAAATAGCGTATTAATCGACGAAAAAGAAGCAGTTGTTTTAAAAAGAAGATTTATTTATAAAATGTATTCAAATATTTAAAAAAAAAGATATTACAGTTAATAATGTCAATTTTCATTTTTTTTCATTGATTTGCATAGCGAATATCAGTTGATCAAAGATAAAAACAAAACAGAAATAAATATAACATTTTAAAACCTTAAAAATTTATACAAACAAATCATTCATACATACATATATATATATATATATATATATATATATATATATATATATATATATATATATATATATATATATATATATATATATATATATATATATATATATATATATATATATATATATATATATATATATATATATATATATAAATATATATAGCTTCCAACTTTAGTATATATAAATTAATTAAATATTTGTAAAAATACATAAAATGTATGAATTGTGTCCTTTTGTATCTTCATTGCAGTCTGGACCACCATGTGTGTCCGCTATCTCCAGTGGTGCCTTCGTTTTTTCACACACACACACGCACACACCCTCAAACACACAAATGCCATTGTTCCCACGTACTCATTTTGCTTCCAACTTTTATATATATATATAAAAAAAAAAGATAGAAAAAAATAGTTATGATTGTGTGATGAAGGAGTGATTGTCAAAGAGAGTAAGTAAAAAAAAAGAAACAAGAAATAAACCGGAGAAAATCTACATGAACCCGCACGTATACACGCATACACGAAGAGATAGATAGATAGATAGATAGATAGATAGATAGATAGATAGATAAATAGATAGATAGATAGAGAGAGAGAGAGAGAGAGAGAGAGAGAGAGAGAGTTGTATGTCCGTGTGTGTGTGTGTGTGCAGAAGGGACCATATAAACAATTATACGTAGTAAGTATTGTATTAAAGAAGAAAACGTTACTTCTTAAAGGACCGGATCGAATACGATCCCTGAATATCAGCATTTTTAAAGATCAATATGATCCTTAAAATATTCAATTTAAAAAAATTCAGTATTGGATAACTTCATATATATATATATATATATATATATATATATATATATATATATATATATATATATATATATGTGTGTGTGTATGTGTGTGTGAATTACTACATTGTTTTTGAGTAAATACAACATATGTATACGTAGATGCTAACAATATACAGATAGACAAATTTCAGTGAGTTTGTTCTAGGAGATATAAAAAAAAGTAACATTTGAATGTGTATATACGCGTTTTGATGAACTTGTTTCATAAAAAAATAAACGAAACAATGTCTGTTATTTGCAAAAAAAAAAAAAAAAAAAATGGAAAGAAAAAGGAAAAAAAAAGAAAAAGAATCTCCAAAAATGTCAACGACTGTGAAGGACGACGATCCGTGTAAAACAAATTCCCCATCCCATTAAAAATGCGAAGAAGGAATTTCAGAAAATAAACAAATATTTCATAGCAATACTGAAAAGAACAAATGAAGGTCGTTATGGTTTTCCGCTTTGAAACAGGTTCGAATAACATCACCGTCAGTAGTACAGTTTTGCTTGTTACTTCTTTTTTTATTTATTGGAGAAGCAAAGAGTGTGGGACATACACAAATCAAGGTTAATATTCAACAATGTTCATATTGAAGAAAAGTACTTTGTATTCATAAGAGGTGTGAAGTTTGATCATGTAAGTATTTCTCAACCTCACACGAAAAAAAAAACCCCCAAAAAACAACAAAAACAAACAAAAAACGACCAATAGGTGAATATTAAATTGTTCAAGAAATTATTTGGTATTGAACTATAGTTACAACAGTGCAACTATACAGGAAATATTTTTTTATCTGACTTTTAAGAAAAGAAACTCATTTGATTTCTAAAAAATATTTAAGCTACGGAAATAATAATTATTGTATGGTAAATTATGTAAAAAATAAAATAAAAAACCTTTTAACATTAAAAAAAAAAATTACTATATGATATTTAAATAACCCGAACGGTGGCAGGAGGTGACATGAGATCGGTTTAATGTGTGGTACCCATACGTGTGTATATGCGTCAAGGAGAAAAATCGACCAGTGTCCTGTTGGCGTTATTATTCGACGACACTCCCTCTTCAGTGTAATGAGAAAATTACAGCCGTTGGGTTAAAACGTTTCTTGATAAATCTTTTATATTCAACAAACATTTGTAATACTTATCAGCAAAAAAAAAAAAAAAAAAAAAAGAAAAAAAAGCCTAGTATCTTCATTTTTGTTTTTCGATCAGTATCTACCAGCCTCTAGGCTCTCTGGCCTTACTCATATGCATATCACATTTAACCGTCTCCATTTTCATCATCTGTATTCGGTAAGCTATAGACAAAAAGTTCCTGGATGCTGTGTACACCGGAAGAAGGCCACGGGAGCCCACTTATCAAACAGGGAAAATACCACATCTCAAAAACACTAGTCAGCACCTTTTAGGATTATTGCTAAAATATAAACACATAATGCTTACGTTTTCCCGCCTTTAATTAGTAACATGATTTGCACCTGTATCATTTTCGCAGTCACACATATATTGTTTGGATTAGTTCAACGCTAATAATAGATTAGTGTTACTTTCACTGAATCATAGATCAAAGTTACTTACAGTGGATCATAGATCAAAGTGAAACTGAATCACAGATCAAAGTTCTATACACTGGATCACAGATAAAAATTACACTGGATCACAGATCAAAGTTACTTATATTTGATCATAGATTGTTTACTTTCCCTGGATCACAGATCAAAGTATCTTACAATGGGTCATAAATCAAAGTTACTTATTCTGGATAAAAGATCAAAATCAAAATGGATCCTAGATCAAAGTTACTTACTCTGGATCATGGATCATCCTCATTTACACTGGATCACTGGATCAGATATCCCCTTTCAGGAAATCTTTTTGAAGCATTCATTTTAACAACGATATTTTATAAAAAAACAAACAAACCCATAACAAGAAATAATTTCCTCCTTAAATTCTGATAGCAATCAATACATGTCATCTTTAAATTCTAATAACAAGCGACACTTTTTTTTTTTTACATTACGTAAAATGAAAAAAAAGATGTGTTGCGGCAATGGTTCAGGCGGTGAAAAGCTGTTTGTTTTGAAAATCACTGTTGAAAACATGATTTATCTGAACTGGTGAGAAATATACAACCAACACAGCCTGCCCAACATACACACGCAGACAAACGCACACACACACACACACACACACACACACACACACACACACACACACACACACACACACACACAACACAGCCTGTCCAACATACACACGCACACAAACAAACACATATACACACATACATATTGGAAAGTTAAATAATAGTATACAGGGTTCCATAAAATTGCCCGTCAAATCAGTACAGGATACATATTTCGTCTTCTCTTGCGACCATAAATTATCTGTAAAACTTCCACACTTTATTGTATCCAGTAATGGTTGACATCCATCAATAGACTTCTTTGGAGATTTTTTAAGTGTAGCTCGGATTTGGCACAAGGCCGAAAGTATGGGGGGACCCAGGGAGAATCTAGCGAGACAAGCTTGCTAACCATTACACCACATCGAGGCGCCATCAATACATTTCTTTGCATATGTTAAAGAAAAATGATTAAAGTTTTAATTGGTTATGATCTGGCTTGCAAGGTTGCTTCTCTTTGCCTTTTTTTTTTAAATTAATACTTTCATGGTTAATGTTTTGGATGAGCTCTTAGCTGTGGTACCTAGACTGTATAAATTGGCGGCGAGATCTGATCGTTACAGTTAAGCTAGTTAGATGTAGCCGTAAGTTCTATGCTAACAGTTTCTTTTCTCGCACTTCTCGCTTGTGGAACTCACATCCAGCTCCATGATTTACAGCCAGCTTTAATCTACAAAAATTTAAATGCAATGTCAATCGCTATCTACTGTTCTTCCCATTACTATTTTCTCTTCCCGCTCATTATTAATATTTCTGTTCCTAATTCCCCCACGCCCTCCATGATAGTTGCTATACTGCTTTGCTTGGGGTGATACCGATTAAAAATATACGTAGAGAGAGTTTGTTCTATCTTTTTTAATTTATTTTTTAAATTCATTTTCGTTTGTCTTTTCAGATAGAATGTGAAAATTTACTTATTGATTCCTGAAATTTGATAAAAATGACGACAGCAGCAAGAGAAGACGAAATATCTTTCTATAGAAATCATTTATGGATACCCTGTATTTTAAAGAACTTAGTATTTAATAATAATAATAATAATAATAATAATAATTTTTAAAGAACTGAGTATTTAATAATAATAATAATAAATTGTTATTAAAGACCACAAACAAAAACGGTGCCTCCTTATTGATATGGCAGTCCCTGCTGACTGCAATGTATCTTTGAAGATATTCAAAAAGTTGTCAAAGTACAAGGACCTTGAAATAGAAATCTCGAATTTGTGGCATATGGGAACATCAACAATCCCTGTTGTAGTTGGAGCCCTAGGACTGGTTGGGAAAGATTCCAGTAGACTAATTGAAGGGATTCCTGGAAGTCCATGCCTCAAGGAGATACAGAAAATTGTTCTGACAAGTACAGCCCACACCTTACGAAGGGCTTTATCTATGTATTTTTTTTTTTTTTTGTCAGTGGAAAGTGTCATGACGCCATTTCTAACCTTAGGTCCCTGGGCGGGACCCGGAAAGAAATGTGTAAACGCCAGAAATCAAAGAAAATAAAAAAAATAATAATAATACTGTTTAATAATATTTTAAAAAAACTTATATTTTACTTTACTTAAAAAGTACTTTACTTCAATATGACATATTAACCGATGCAAATAATTAGCGAAAAATATGAAAGGAAAAAAACATCTAAATAACACATTATGTCATAAACAAAAACAATATGGTCGCATTTCTCTTTTGCTCATGCAATGAGATTGATTTCCGTATCGATTAATTCGACTAATTTCACCCAGAATTTCCATATTATTGTCGCTTCGCATACTTATGGTGGTTTCAAAGACAGCCTGACCTGGGTTGACCTCTATTGCAATAATATACAGACTTACCGGTTCTTCGGGCGTCCAGCTAAAGCCCCAAAATGTTGGCTGTGACTTGAGTCTCAGCCGTCCCATTGGTTCCCTTTTCTGGACATACTTAACTGACAACAGTTCATATTTCGCGCATTTGTCGCGCCATTGGTCCGTCAGGGTGATCGTGTTTTGCAATACAAAGTTAGCAATAGAGGAAGTGACCTTTTCGTCGAGGTTCACCACGGCAGATTTGTAACATGCGCAGTACTCTTCCGGTATACCGGCTTGTGCACACGTCCGTCTCTTAGGAACACGACTAAAGAAACTATACGCCTTTAATGTGTTGGTCCTCATTTCGCTAGACGGGCCAGGCTGTTTAGCAGCCTCCTCTCGGGAACGGAAGTTCCCCTGCAGCACGTCCTTTATTGTCTCGTGCGTGTCGAATGGTGATACTAGCCGTTGAGTGTTGGCCATAAAGTTTGCTGCTATTCCGGGGTATTTGGTCTTGAATTGGTCAGGAATTTTCAACAGCACCAGGGGCATTTTGTCTTCGATACGGCCGATTAAGGTCTGTCGGAACCAGTCGAAACGATGACCATGATCACTCATAAAGAAAAGAAAAGAATTGTTGAGAAAACCCTCATCGTGAAGGGTTTTTAGCATCTGATAGAAATCCTCGTCGCCAGCTTCGACAGTGTTTAGGTATTCGTGTCCAATTTCTGTTAGCCAGGATAAAGCAAACATTGGAAATTTTCCGTAGTAACGCCGCACAAAACTCATAAAGTACTTAATAACCACCTGGTGTTTGGTACTGCTTCCCACGCAAAGATCGAATGCTTTCCCCACTGAGACCTTTTGGCTCTCGAGTGCCAACCAAATCGGTGACAGCAGATCTTTAATAGGATGGGTATTCTTAAACGATAGCCAAAATGGTCGCATATAATGGTCAGTCGGTTGTTCATGGAAACCTTTGTCCAGATAATTAAAAGTGGCCATGTGTGGCGCATCCTCAGCAAATAGAGATACGTAACCACAGCGGGAAAAATTTTTCCATATCAATGGGTAACCGTCATAAAAATCCTTGTAAGGTGGTGTCTTTTGGAGTTGGTGAGAATACTTACCGGTTAAAATAGGCAGTATATTTGGAAAGGTGTTGGCACCGACTTTGGTGTAACCACGAAAATCATAAGCTCCAAGATTTTTGGTTAGATAACCGTAGGTCTTTGGCAGTTTACGGATACCATTGAGTCGCGAGATAGAATCAAGGCCGAAGATAAGCAAGTTATAGGGGTTTGAGCTGCATTGTTCTGTGGGGTCTTTACGTAGCGTTTTGGAGAAAGTCTTTTTGGAAACGTGTGCGTGAAGGTTTGTGTAGGCGCGCCCTTTGGCGTCCCGACAGGTGATTAAGAAAAAATCATAAGGCACCTCCCCTGGCATAGATATAGGTACACTTGTCTTCAAAGCTACATTGTCGTCATCCTTAATTCTGTAGACACCTTCGTAGCTGCATTTCATAGTGTTGGGATCGAACCCTGACTCAAGACAAGCTGTAGTGTTAATCTTTACTAACCCGTCTTTGTCGATAAATGTCAGGTCACTTTTAATTCTGCATTTAAGGGGTTTGATATGGAAGACGTATTTAGAGATCGATTTGTCGAAGGGATCGATGTCAGGCAAGTGGCACTCACCTGCGGCATCGCCGACCATGAACTCAGGGGATGGCGCCAGAAAGATATTATAGAGTGTCCACGTGCCAACGAGAAGCAGAGAGAGAATGAGAACTCGTTTGAATTTCTTCAAGTTCACCGCCATGTTTGCATGAGTGAGGAAATCGGTCCAACCAGATAGCGATTACTAAGAAGCGTTCGCTATCAACTGAATCGGTTGAAGTAGTAAAGTATCCTGTTTTTTGGGGGGTTTGATTCCAGTTTTTTTTTCATTTTTTTTTTTTAATCAAGAAAAGAACCGTTCGTTTCTCTTATGTCAGTTGTCATTATTTTTTAATTTTTTTTTTTTGTAAATAAGTTTAGCTTGCTAAATGTCATTAACGAGTCGCGGTAAAATGAAAGTTGCAAGATCAGAATGGAATTAACGAATGAAAAGAAAGTCGGAACGAAGGAAAAATGTAATGGAAGAAAATAGAAATGAATAAATGAATGAAAGCGAAAAATGGATTGAATGGATAGATGAATGAATGAAAGTGGAATAAGAAAACACAGACTGATTGAAAGAACGACTTAGAAATTAAATTAGAATGAAAGAATATTAAAAATTTAAAAAAAAATGGATAAATTAGACGAGTGCGTAAAACAAATGAATATAAAAACTAATGAACGAAAGAGAAAAAATTAAAGGTAAATTGTGTCACAACAAACACTAAGTTTAATTTCTTTTTTTTTTTTTTTTTTTAATTGATGGAAGTGAACGGTAATAGCTTCAATATCCTCGTAACAAATCCTGAATGAAAAATGACTCCACTTCGAAAAATTAGAGTTAATATCCCAAACTCCCGATATTTGTGTAAAAATCCTTGTTAGATGTGCTGGGCTACTGTATTTACCGACTCGTGTTTATTATATACAACGCCAGAACGAAGATTAGTATGGCTAGGGTTGTATCGAAAAGGCGGGCTAGCAGTCGTTTAAAGTACGTAGGTAGATTATCAGAAGGTTGGTACGTGTGCGGTAAGGGCAAGCCGAGTAGCCGACAATTACCTTTTAGGAAGTCCTCACAACGGCTATTACAGGAATACTTCTACTACCATTATGAGTAGTTGTAGTAGAAATAGTTAATGAAAGTGATACAACAAGCAAGAAGGTTGCGTGTGTTGAGAATAATAGGAAATTGTATGCGTTTTCGATTTTTTTATATCGTTGTTTGGGTAGATTTGAATTATTTTGTCCGTCAAGTAGAGGAATTCAATAAAGGGAGCATTTTTTTTTTTTCATTTTTTTTTTCTGTTGTCTCCTTTACTGATGAGGAAAACTTTCTCGATTGTATGATTTTCCAACGACCGACGTAAAATTGTGAGATATTTTATGGCGTTATAATTGATATATAAACCAAAGAATACTCGTCTCTTATGACGAAGGACGACTACGACCACGCCGACAAC